TGTCAGGATATAGTGAAAATTTCACAAAATATGACAAAAAGTTATTTTATAAAAGTTACATACTGTAGCTTTAAATACTTTATCATGACAAAAATTTTTTTTTGTAAATTGAATAGATTTAGATATTTCAGTTGTTGAAGGAATAAGCAATTTGACATAATTTCTTTAGGCTCTGGAATCTTGTTAAAACTGTTAGTCATTGTATCTAGTCATTTTATAGACTAATCTATATCAGTAATGAAAAAAATAACTGATGAAGCTAAGTGTGAATTAAAATCAGAGTTATACAGCACTCTATACAAGCTGATTTTTTCTATTTAAAGCTGCCCTGGTGTGAAAGCATCCGTTCCACTGCTCTGACGACTGAATTTTCATACACCTGTCAGACAGAGAGCAGTACAGATTTAGCATAGCGACCTATGGCAAGAGTCACTGTTATTATCAACAGATTGGATGCTTGACGGAAACATATGCAAGCAAAGCATGTATTTTGCAGTTCAATGAGCATGGATGCCCAGAGTGTTGTCTTTTTAAGCAAATTCAGTGGCATATTGTTCCAACATATGTTAGAACTAAGATGACAGGCCCACCACATGCTAGCAGTGCCTTATGTATGGTTCCATATGTAGCCACCAGTTGGAGGGCAGACCCTGCATTATGGCTTTTTTAATGAGATAACCACATTTGGCACAGGTGGAACTGTGTACATTTTGGACCAATGTGTTTGCCCTACTTTTAATAGATCCCCCATGTTACCTTGGCAATAGCTACTCTTCCTGGGGTTCATGTTAACAAAATGCACTGTTACAATAGCTGGCTGTGTATTCAGTTATGAATGTAAGTGTTGATTGTGTCACATTTTTGTAATTTCTGTTTTGTTTGTGCAATGTATCCATCTGATACCCAGACTTAAGATAAAGCTTGGCGAGTGACAGCAAACCATTTTTTATGCTATTGCTGTTTTTTTTTTTTGTTGCACCTACAAGTCTGGTACACATTTATAGGAGTCTGTTATCTAATGATGAAGTGCACTCCAGGGTGCCCTTCCAGCAGACAAAACGTTGTAAAGTGCCTAAGGTGCTAATCCTAACCCTGACGGAACTGTTTTACCATAAATGCATCATTTCTGCAAGCTGGTGCCCTTTTTATTTTTTGCCAATGCCCCTAAAAACTACATGAGTTCACCATTGCTTGGTCTTGCTGCTTTTCTAAGTCCTTTGTGTTGGTAAATTAAGTGTCTTTAGGTTTTGGACTGTTGGTTGGACAAAAGAAGCTAAACAATTTTTTGACATTTTATAGGCAAAAGAATTAATCGTGAAAATAAAAGGCCTATAATATTTAATATAATAAAATATTTTATTTTTACTATTCAAATTCCATGAAACAAACTATAATGTAATAGCAAAAAGCGTCTTCTAAACAGAGAAGATAGAGCACTTGGGTCTGTAATTGTTTTATGGCAGCTGTGGCACGTGTCCGCATGGTGAACTGTCCTTGGGCTTCGAGCCATCAGTGTGCAAGTGTGAATGGTTGAATTAGAGGCAAACTGTGCTTTTTTATTAACTTTAGCAAAAAGCACTGGGCCTGTAGCACAACTGAAAAATCAAACAAAAAATACAATGAGGTAATTTTAAAACAGGCAAATTGAAATGGTGAAATAAAAAAATGCTTACAAAGAGGCACAAGCAGATGGCCTGTATGTGGAGGTCTGTTGTTGTGTTTGCAGATTTATTTCTCTCCCTGCCCTCCTTTGTTCTGCACAATCAGTGGAACAACCTTCCAAAAACTGTGATTACTTTGTTTCAGAACTATTGGGTCAGCTTTGTCTCCCAAAAGGCCTTTATTGCTTGGACAAACTCTGGGTTTGTGGGCTTTTAAGATCCTTTCAAACCAACAAACCTAAACCAAACAGACTCTATAGGACTCAAATGCGATGACTCTGAAGGAGTCTTAACTCAGCAGATTCCTCTGACTCAATGCATTGGTGCAATGCAACCAATGGTTTGGTTCAGAACGTTCCCTCATATATGGATCGGTTGTTTGCTTATGACATGATCTCCAGTCTGACAGGAAATCCTTCTCAAACATGAAGCTTTAAGGGATGTTTGAGCTGAGCAGCTTTACATTTGCCTCACTGCAAGATATACAGTGTGCCTAGTGTGAAAGACTGAAAGTAATAATGCACTTTATATTACTTACTGCACTGGTAACCTTGTCACTTTTGAGATAAAGATGATTGTTTTCCAAATGGTTAGAAAGTATGGAAGTGCATTGCATTCACCAAAGAAACAAATGGAGATGTTAGCTACCTAGGACTATGTCATAAAAAAGCCAAATTGACATAATGGCACAGGGACATAAAAATACATTGTGAAGGATGTGGCTGTAAAATGGTGGCTGAATTATTTTTTAGCATCACAACCTCCGTGAAATGATTCGTTTCACTTTCAGAACATTTTGAAAGTCTAGAAGAGCTGCACTATTAAATCATGGGCTGTAGCAAGTGCAGTATGCATTCTTTTGGAAGAACAGGAAGTTGCTTTTTTGGCTTCATGCACCACTGAGCAGATTTCAAAGGAATGAACGGAGCGCCACCTCCAAAGCTGTATCCAGACCCATTTAATACATCCATGGGAGCTATCCTTGGCGGGACGCACTTCTCAAAATTGTGCCGAGTGCTGGACAAGTTCAAATTATTTCAACTTTGACATTTGTTGCCACTAACCTTTCAAAGCACTACCAATTAGACAACAGCTGCATATAGCATAGACACATGCCAGCAGAGGAGGTAGAGAGCAGAGAGTGATTTGGGTGGGTGGGTGGGGGTAATCCACGATGAAGTAATACACGGCATTCAGATTGGGGAACTACCATCTTTGTGAATAGACTTAGCTTGCTAAATCTAATGCTAATGTTAGCATAGCTGTTTATGCAACAACTGTGCAAGGCATACAATGTCACAGGCTTATTTTCACAAGCATAGCTATATAAACAGTAAATGACCAGAAAACGTTAGTTTAGGAACAGTAAATCCCATCATGTTTATGCATTTTGTATTTATTTTTTTGTAGAAGAAGAATTTACAAAGAGCAACTCTCATCATGTGAAGGCAGTTTTAGCTTACACACAATAGATGCTAAGATCAAATGTTACATCATAACTACGGTGTTTCATTGAATTGCATTGTTATGGGAACAGCCAACAGTCAGACTGTAACAGTGTGTATGTTTATGAATGAACATTTGCAACTGTTTAAGATGCAGCAGTCTGGCAATCAGACTGAACAGATATTTAAATTACATTAAGTATGCAATTTTATTTTCAAAAAGAAACAAAAGAAATGAAGGGCCATTTTGAATTCAGTTTCACCATCATTATGGCAGTGTCCATGTGTTAATTTTTATTTCAAAAATGTATTATGTGTTGTCTAACTTGAAAAATATTGGCAGCCCTGGACTACCATACCCTTCACATGTAGGTTACATATGCTGTGTCCCAATTCCATATTTTATACTAATTGTATAGAATAATCTTTATTACTAATCTTTATTATGTACAGTTTTTGCAGTCAGTATAAAATAAATTAACATACATAACTAGGGGTATAGGATATTTAATATGGCAGTTGGGATTTTGGGACACAACTATAAAGTATATTAGCAACATTATCATGCAGTCATGAGTATTTAAATATACACGCCTACACACACACACACACCACCCCAACAACACACATACAGTACACATGCAGATACAAAACACTCCAGTGTGTCGGCTCCAAGGTTGTTGTCTAGCCTTCACTCCCCCTCACCTCTCCAAAGTTAATGAAATCGCTCCCACAAAGTCGCTAGAGAGGCTGCTCTGTTCCAAACTACAAAAAAATAACACCCCAGGTGAGATTGAATATAAAGAAAATGTGACAACAGACCTGGAAATGTTTCATTGGTGTATAAAGGACACAGAACATTTTGTCAGCTCAAGCATTCAAATTCTGAGTCATCTAGAAACGCATTAGCTTTGAACAGAGGGAGCGGAAAAATAGAAGAAAGGCTTTCACTCTTTGGAGTAATGACTGTAATGTATTATTACGCTGCTTTAAAATGATTTGAAGGAAAAGCCAATTTACATAGCATTTTAAATATGGCCATTATGTTTTTAATTGTGACAAAGGTGAACATATAATTTATATTTTTCCTGATCATGTCCCATTAACACATGTTAATAGGAACTATATATTAATTATCCAGCCTGATATCCTGGGCTGTATTTAGGTACGTAAAAACCTTTTCATTATATCTCTTCTTTCTTCTATTTTCTCCTTTCAGGGATCCAAACCAACCTGTTCCACAGGATACAAAGTTCATCCACACAAAACCCAACCGGTTTGAGGAGGTAGCCTGGACTAAGTACAACCCCAAAGACCAGCTCTACCTTCACATTGGCCTCAAACCTCGAGTCCGAGACCACTACCGTGCTACCAAGGTCGCTTTCTGGTTAGAACTAGTTCCACATCTCCACAACATAAATGAATTTTTTCAATACGTATCCACCACCACCAAGATACCTCCGCAGGACACCACCCCGTACCCTTACACCAAACGGTTCCCTGGCAAAAACAACTGGCCGTCCACTACCCGCCACCCAGGGGTCCCGCCTGCCAACACCAAACAGACCACCGACCAGCGCAAGAGTGGTGACCTGACGGATGAGTCGACTGTGGTGATCGAGACCAAGAGGGACTACTCCACTGAACTTAGCGTCACCATTGCAGTCGGAGCGTCCCTGCTCTTTCTGAATATCCTCGCCTTTGCTGCGCTGTACTACAAGAAAGACAAGCGACGGCATGAGTCAAATCGGCGCGTCCCCACCCCACAACGCAACTCTGCTCCGACCAACACGCCATCCACTGCCAACGACGTGGCCCACCTGCAGAGCGAGGAGCTGATGTCACTGCAGATGAAGCAGCAGCAGCTGGAGCATGAGCACCACCACGAGTGCGAGCCGCTGCAGACCCACGACACACTGCGCCTCACCTGCCCGCCCGACTACACCCTCACCCTGCGCCGGTCGCCTGACGACATACCCCTGATGACGCCGAGCACCATCACCATGATCCCCAACTCACTGGCTGGCATGCAGCCTCTGCACAACTTCAATACTTTCGGTGGCAGCCAGAACAGTACCAACTTACCCCACGGCCACTCCACCACACGGGTATAGCTCCCCTGGGACAGGCTGGTGCCGGATTCCGTCTGGATCAGCCACTAACCTCGCAAGGCAAATATGACAAGATAAAACTGTGTGAAGCACAGACTCAGCAGATGTTATTTTGCTACCATGCCTTCTTGAAAAGTATATACAGTATAAATTGATCATGAACTCATGAAAATATTCAGTGAATGTTACTATAGTAATAACTCTATTTGGAGCTAAGCTTCATGGAAGGTTTCGAGGAGTTTTACCAAAAGACAAGGCAACCAGGGGATGACTGTTAATATTCTTACAACACAAAATGAATTCAGTGTGACAAAGAGACCTTTGCAGAGGCTTTCGTGCCATAAATATATAATGGGAAGACAGTGGCAACAGTTGAACGTCTGAAACATCATCTTTTCATGATCCTTCATGCATCAGACACCTGACTTGGGCACAGAATTCAACACCCCAGCCTGAAATGTATTTATGAAAAAAAGAAAAAAAAAAGAAAAAAGGTATATAGTTGTGCGTGGCAATTTAAAAAGTTAAAAAAGAAAACATTATATTAAAAAAGCTCTTCCTATTATTGTTTTTTATTTTGGCTGAGATATTTTGGGTTTTTCGAGCTTGTGCTTTTAGGTGCGTGTAAATATATCCAAACATTCTCCATTCTTTTTCTGATTACGATCTGTGTTTCATTATTTTTATTTTTTTTCACAGAACGACCAAAATGCGAACACAATCTCATCCTCGGAGATTTGCACACCATGCGTCTGCAGGTCATCACATACAGAAGTGTCTCGTGCATTGCTTTGTTTCCACTCTTTAGACATTGCATGTCCAGGAAGAGCTTTACTCTCCATTTTCAGACAAGTCTCCTGTCTGAGAATGAGGACTGATTTTGATCCCATCACCTGCTGTCATCCTGTTATGCTTCCAATAGTTTTCTTTGTGGGCTTTTTCTGTCTTGCAATCAGCACTGCCTGAGCTTACAATGTGACCAGCAATGTATTATTTAGAAATAAAAAAGGCAGTGAATTTTTTTGTATCAATATTAGTTGGATATGTTTGTAAAGAAATATATGTTAGATATTTCAAATTGTCATATGCTAGCAATATGTAAAGTATTGTGCCAGGCTTGTGATATTTTGGGTTACAAAAGCAAGTGAATGAGTGTAAATATTAATGATATTAATTATTATGAAATTACAGCAAAAGTAACCATTAACTCTCTTTCCGTTTTGCATCCTATTACAAAAAAAAAAAAAAAAAATGGAAGTACATCCAGAAGATTTTAAGCTACATTTGTAAATTCTATAAAAAGATATATTCTTGCCATTTGGTCCCTAAACCAGTCAAGATAACAAGGGTTTTAATGTAGAGTTTTAAAATCCTTAGTTTGTCTTATATTTGTTTGCGGTTTTGCCTTAAGTGATAATAGAGATATTTCTGGCTGGACACCTGTATAAACTTTTTCTGCAACATTTTTAATAAAAAATCACAGTATTTTCTAAAAAAAGAGAAAAAAAAGAAACATGGAAAGTTTGGATTTGTTTGGATGGTTGTGTGTGCATATGTGATTGGATGTCTGTGCATGACAGATTAAATTGTACATCTTCAAATAGGGGGTTTTGTTTAGCTAAACTGCAGGGAAAACCAGACCTATTAGACACGTTATTTTTTTCTAATTTTCTTCCGCTCACTTTTGACAGAAATACTGTTTACATTTATTTCCAATTGCTTCCACTTTGACGTTCTTTTGACTGCTGTTACTAACAATGAAACTCAACACTTCCTGCACAACTTCATATTGAAAGCCAGCAGCTCAAAGGGCATAATCTCCCTTTCCTTGTAAAATTTCAATGTGAACTCACAAAATAAAAAAAAAACTGTAAAAAAAGGCTTCCCAAACAGGTTAATAATAGAACCAAAAAAGAACAAGAATGGCACCATATGTAGAAAAGTGGAAGAACTTAATAGACCAGTGTGTGGGATTTAGTGGCATCTAGTGGTGAAGTTGCAGATTGCAACCAAGTAAAGACCGCTCGCCTTGCAAGCATGTAGAAAAAACTGCGGTAGCTCGGAAAAACCCAAAAGTCTGGTTTGTATGTTCTTGGGCATAGAAACATGGAGGTTCAACATGGCAGCCTCTGTGGAAGAGGACCCGCTC